GGGGTGCACCCCCACGTCCCTTTTTGCATAAACTACAGGCCCTGATCTGCACCTCAATTGCAACCTCAATAGGAATAGAACAACAGTTTACACGCTTTGGGATTATTCACAGCCGAGTGGTGCCAGGGGACCTGGAAGGGTGGAGAAGGCAGAGAAGTTGAAAGGACAAGTAGGGGTGAAGGAAGAATTAATGGAAATTTCTCTCTTTCCTCCATTTGAGGAAAAGGAGCCTCCTAACATATACAGGGGCTCTAGGCAATACATAGATCTATCATGACTATAATGCTGCATGTATTTATCTGTTATATGCATACAAAATATATGTTAATTGGCTGAGCACAGCATTACATCTGACTTTTTGATTGACCACAGTACAGGATTCCCAAATGTCTTTCCTGGAAAATGGAATTTAATATAATCAAAAGAGAGCCTGGGGTCTATTCTTGTTGTTGAACCAAAGGAGGTGGACTTGAAAGTTGCTGTTTTATGCCAAATTCAGATGGAGAGAAATAGGGACACAGAAAGAAGGGTAGTTAAGGAATACTGAGTCACATTCAAAGTAGTCCTCTCCTCCCTCAGCTTCTTTAAGCATTTAAGACCAGCATTTCTAGTATGGTCTTGCTCCAATTTTAGGTACTACCTGGTCCAGGGAATATATTCTCCTGATCAACCTGATTACTTCTCCCTTTGCCCTCTTCCACCTGTTTGGTAACAATCATGTAATGGCCCCCAACTGTCTCATACACACACACATCCACAGGAATATGAACAAGAGAACTCATACACAATGAGAACTGCCAACAGCCAGTGTGACTTGTGGAAGGAACGTGACCCCAAGTAAAGTCAAACACTGCTGACTTGTAGTGGCAAAAGACAGATGACCTTGCAGATGAGTTTCCTGCAGTGAGGTTAAGGGAAAAATGAGAGCAAAGAGAACTGCAAGGAAATAGGGAGAGAAGAAGAGGGAGAGGATTGGAAGGAAAGCAGAGGAGAAAGGAGAAACAAAATTAATAGACAAAAAAAGGAGAAATTTTGTTTAAAGACAAACGTGAAAGCACAGTCCAGGAAATTCATATGTCTAAAGATCATGTCAGTATTTTTGATATAGCCAAAGCATATTAAAGTACTGAACAGAGCATGTAGTTAACTTCCTAGACCTGGAGAGCCTTGGATAACCAACTACCAAGCCTTTTTCAGGTTCCCACCGTCAGCCAGGACACTGTTGTGAGTCAGCCTTGGTAACATCACCAAATCATAGAGGAGCCTTCCTTGCTTTAATTAAAAATGGGAATCTTGGGAAAACTGGAGCATATTAGCTCAGTGAAGGGTTGGTTTCCAGTCATTTATTTTGATGTATACATAATAATGTATACATACATCTGTACATAGATGCCTTTATGTATTGCAATGGTGCTATAGCACTACTAAGATGATTATGTGCATATCATCATGAGTTATGTTTTAAAGAAATCTCTCACACCACAACCCCATGGCCTGAAGGAGTTCAATTGTCAGTCGATCATAACTTCGTACTAACTCTGGGAGGAATAAATGGGAATTGGGGAGGGAAAAGAATTTCTGCAGGAAAATCAATTTGCCTTTGAAACTTGCGTAAGGTTTTAAACATTTATTTTACACACAGTGGAATTAGGCAGTAGTAAAACAAATCTGAACTGTTTTCAGAAAAAAAAAAACCTCTGCATCAACCTAGAAGAAAATCACACACATACACACAAGCAAACAAGCGCTCTTACACACACACACACACACACACACACACCCCACCACCACCACCACCACCACCACCATCACCAAAAAAGCAACAATAAAATGGGAGTGAGAAAGCCCCGGTAGTAAGTAGTTCCTTCCTGGAATGAATGAGATTGTGTATAAGACAAAAAACATAGCTGGGTTATTTTCCTTGAATTGCTACGGGAGCAGTTTTTAGTAATTAAAAAAAATATATGGAAAAAGACGAGGAGGGCAACCTCTCTTGGTTATGAAGGGTAGAAACGTTGGCCACTAGCTCCGTACCAGGGAACAATAGTAGTGACTTTCGGTTCACTCATCTCTTTTAAGCTTTTCCCTGGAAATCACCGTGTAAGTGTGTGCATGCGTACGTGTGTGTGCGTGCGTGCGTGTGCGTCTGTGTGTGTGTGTGTGTCTGTGTGTGTGTGTGTGTGTGTGTGTGTGTGTAATCTTGGGTCTGGGGGATTCGGGGAGTTAGGGGGAGGGTGGAGGCAATTCAAAGTCAATTGGCAAAAGCAACAGCAGCGAAGATTTTCCGTTCCCTCCCAAGCAACCCAGAGCTTTGGAAGGAAGCTTCCCGCTTTGTGAGTCCTATATACCTGTGTCCATTGCTGCAGGTTCTTGTGCTGGAGAGCAATTGGACTATTGTTGATATGCTAATGAGGCGATTAGGCTGTTGGTAAAGAGCTGGAAAAGGGAAAAGTTTCTACCATTAGAGGGAGATCTCCGAGCGCACACAGGAGCTCTCTCCCCACACGCCACCTCCTCCTCCTCCTCCCTTCCACCACCAGCCTGCACTCTGCGCTTTCCCAGAGAGTGGCTCCACTTTGGTGCAAGGCAGAGAGAAACAAATTTGCTCACGCCAATCCATGAAAATGCTTTGGAAACTGACGGATAATATCAAATACGAAGACTGTGAGGTAAGCTCTTTGCTGGTCTGGGCAAGTCCAGGGGCAACATGGGCTGTCACTGGGACCTTGTCTCATGCATCGATCTGCGAATTTCGTGTAGGACAAACTTCTACCTCTCCGCCAACCCAAGCAACCCGAGGGAGTGACATTAGGTTAGGGAGAGCCCACCCGGAACTTGGGAAAATGGGATAGTTTTTTCCCTTATTTCTTTTCCCTTCTTTATCTTTTTACTCTCTTTTTAATTTAAAAATTTGGAGATACAGTAAGAGAGTGAGCAAAGAGATCTGGGGGGGATTTTTGAAGCATGTGCTGTCAGTGGTGTGCCTTATCCAAACTCATGGAGGTCCTGAAAGTCAGTAGAAAAAGAAAGGGAAGATAGGGTTCTCTCTGTGCCAGTGCTTTCTTTAGCCTTAGCCCAAATATTTACTGATCTGCAGGGTAGTTTAAATGAGTCTTTTGGTGAAGAAGCTGATTAGGGGAGTATGGAGGTGTGGGGGGCGGAATGGAACACAAAACATTAGTCGAGTAATTAGCTGGCATCTAATGAGCAGCTGAAATCAGGTATAATATGCGATGTTTTCATCCCGGCGCCTTATTCCTGCAGTAGCTGGGTTTCGCTTCAGGGTCAGTCGATCAAGAATTTAGGAAATCCACTCCGCCTCAGAGAGAAAAGAACTTAAGTTTCGGCAAGTGTGAGAGAGGAGAAGCTTGCTGGTGCGTCCGCCTGGTGCTTCTAGCTCGCCTAGATCTCCACCTTCAGCCCCTCGTCCTGGGATGGAGCGGGGCGATGGGACACTATGATAGATCGTGGGACCAGACTTGCGACAGGGATAACATGGAGACAATGGAAACACCGGGCGTCTGTGGAGCCGGGTGCCCGACTGCCACCGCCAGGGAGTGAGCGGTGCATTAGGGTCTCCCCCTCCCCCCAACCCCTTTCTCTTGGGCACAATCTCAGCTTTTATTGTGGTATACGTTGTGGGTCCGGGCGTCTTTAAGTCATTCATTTGAGATTCTTATTTGAGGTTTCTATCACCATTCGCTTTCGTGCCTTCCTTTACCCCAAAGAAAGAGAACCGATGAATCACCCAGAACGGCGGATTACCTAAATAAATAAGTTGGAGTCCTAGCTTTTTATGTTTTTGTCATTTGATTCTGGAAGTGTCAGAAAAAGAGCTGTTTGCGTGCGGAGCAACAATATCTTGTCTTCACTTGAAATCAGAAACCAGGTTTATCCGAACGACAGTCGCCCCCCCCCCGCCCCAACACACACCACCCCTCCCCCTCGCCTTTTTCTTTTCTGAAGACTATTTTAGTTTTTGTTTCTAGAAATCTTTCTCCCTTCTCAAGCATAACCACCCCCCTCAGCTGATGGAAAAGTGCGTTTGGGATCCAGATGAGGACATATGTGTACGTGTGAGCACCAAAAAGGGGAGAAGAGGGTCAAGCTGGCTTTGTTATGGTGGCCGGAATGAACGGACTGTTTGCTCTAGTTAGTGTGAAACAGACCAGGAAAATGGAAAATAATAATTGACTACAATTCCAAATCCCTAGGCCGGGGGCATTGGGACTCCTGACAGGGGATGAACTCCAATGGAAGTCTCAGTACCTCTAAGCTTTATGGGGGAATCGGACACCGAGTCGCTTCCATGAGGCGTTTGGGAATTGAGTGGGGATATGAAAGAACATTGGGGCATTGTGAATGAGAATGTTGGGACGTTCATTGGGAATGTGAGTATGCTCTGTTGTGTTGTGTGTGTGTGTGTGTGTGTGTGTGTGTGTGTGTGTGAGAGAGAGAGAGAGAGACAGAGACAGAGACAGAGAGAGAGAGAGAGATCCAGGAGGCGGGCAGCAAAGTCTCTGGCTGCTGAGAGATTAAGAAGAGGAGGGCGGGGGAGAATAAAATGAAGCAAACTGCAACTTTCCCAGTGGCTGTGTGTGCAGTGGAGACTGTAACTCGGGCTTCAGTGCAGGATTAGAGCTGTTTGATTAGGTGCGCTGGAGTTCTGTAGGACAAGCAGGAGGCAAAGTGCCCGTTGTTATGATAACCCGGCAGACTGGCAGCAGCAGTGGTGGCGGCGAAGCTTGCACAGCTCAAGCATGTGCTTGTCATCTTTGAGGGGAGTTGGTGTTCAAGAGTGGCCCAGCCAGTCCGACGGGTTTGCACCCGGAGCTGGGGAGCTAGGTTGTGGTAGTGTGTGGAGGGACTGGGACTGGCTCCTTTTCCTTCTCTCTCTCCTGGGTCCCAGGGACTCCCTATCTTTCAGTCCCCAGAGCTCCCAGCCGACTACTCGGCGGATGCTCTGGGAGCGGAGGGGGGCAATTCTGACGATCTCTGCTTTCCTTCTTCCCGGCCCCAGTCACCAGCTGAGCTGCCGGCAAAGAGTGGCTGCTCATGGGTGGAGTAGTGTGGGGAGCTGGGTGAAGTGGAGACGGCACCTAGACCTGGCTGATCAGGAGAAAGGAAGAGAGCCTGAGGGCAGTAACTCCTCAGTCCCTGGCCTCAAAACCCGGGTAGGGCAGAGAAGGGCGTCCCCTTAAGGAGGGGGAAAAAAGAAGGAAGGGATCAAGGCCGAGGGAAGAGAGGGATAGGAGCACGCAGAACTCTGGATGCCTCGTTGTTCCCAGTCTCGGGCGGGTCTCTGTTTGGTCAGGGTCCTGGGCAGAGCCATGGAAGGATCTGCCGGGGAGGCATTGGTAGCGGCGGCCAGAGACAGCGGCGGGGGACCGAGGGGCCCCGAGGCTCCTGCCCCGCAGAAAAGCGGAACAGACAGCTGTATCAAAGGGCAGGGGAGAGACTCTGGCACAGAAAGCAAACCGGCCGCCCAGATGCAGCCCTTGGCGTATAATACAGGATATTCGCAGCAACAGCAGCAGCAGCAGCAGCAGCAGCATCCTGAGGTCTGCCCTCACTCTTTTTGGTTTGATTGCCCTCCCTTTCTCTTTCCCCTCCCCCATCCGTTCTCTCTCCCCCCTTTTCCTCCCTCCCTCCCTCTCTCTGTGGTTCCCACTCCCTCCCTTCCCTCTCCCCACTCTGTGTTCCTCTCCCTTGCCCACACTCTCTCTCTCTCTCTCATGCAGGCACACACATTCTCTCTCTCTCTCTTTCTCTCTCTCTGTCTCTCTCTCTGTCTCTCTCTCTCTCTCTCCTCTCTCTCTCTCTCTCTCTCTCTCTCTCTCTCTCTCTCTCCTCTCTTTTTCCTCTCCCTCTGTCTTCCTCTCTAGAGCTCTTTCTCTTTCACTTTTGCATGTCCTGCAACCTTTTAAAATGTTGCCCCTTCCCTGTGATTCGTCAGACGCCACGGCATGTCCCCCTCTCGCTCGCTCTCTCTTTTTGTCTCTAGCTCTCCCTCTCCCCATCTCTGATTAGATACACTGATTCTTCATTCAATGGACGTCATTTAGAACAGACTCTGCCTTGAGTTGCCTCTTCGCTTCACGCTCGATTTCCAGCCATTCTTCCCTTATTAAGTATTCGTGTAATATTAATAGTCATGAATATCTGCTATTAGGAGTCTCAAGGAAAGCAGTCGATCTCTGTTATTAGAAGCTCAAGTGAAGCAAGCAGCCGCTAAGTCAAAGAAGGAGAAAAGAGGGAAAGAAAAGGATTAAGAAACAAGCACATACACACTTTTTTTTAAAAGAACTTTGAATTATGCTATCACTACAGGATAGAGATCGAGTTTTCAACGTCCAATGAAGGGCACCAGCACGAATTGGTTCAAGTTCTGATGGATTATAGTCGTGCTTTTCTTGTTCTCCAGAGTCTCCGGCGTTGTGACTTTGTAGTCATAGTATAGAACTGGGGCTCCTTCGCTTCTCTTTTGTGTTGGGTGTGTGTGTGTATGTGCAGTCGGTCACTTTTCTCTTGATTTTTTTTTCTGCCCTGACTCGTAAACCCAGACTTCGCAGATGTTAGTACACAGTTTTTCAGCGATGGTGAGTTTTGTTTTGCTTTGGTTGTTGTTTTTTAACCCCTCTCTCCTCGGGAATTCTCTCTAGAATATTAGTGTCGTTGATGTTGTTGGACTTTGGGTTTCACGATCAGGGTTCCTCAAAGGCCACTTTTCACACACACACACACACACACACACACACACACACACACACACCCCTACTTCTTTCATTTTTCATTTTTCACTCTTTTCCATCCTTAAATCTTATGTATTGTCCCTCCCTACTTTCCTTCCCCCTCCCCCATTTACCTACCTACTGCTTCAAGCCAATGATCAAAAGGCTTGTTCTTGCTATATTCGTCTTCATTTCCCTACGTTTTCACTTGTTACCTTGGTGTTTCCAAGAGTCTAGCCTTTATTCTTAGCCACTTAAAAACCTATCCTGATATACTACCGACCATCTGTATACCTTGCTCCTGTGTTTCCAAGCACCTGAACTTCATAGGATACTGAATTCCATAGAATCTACCATGTACTGCTATTTTGAAAGATACTCAATTTCGATGGTAAAGCGGAAAATCAGTCATTTAATTTGTCCTTAAGGGGAGAGGGAGTGAGAAGAGGAAGCTGTACACTAAAGTGCACATCTCTCTTTAAAGTTAGAAATGAATTAATCCTTTCCTTTTACATCTTTATTTATTTTTAAGGGCTGTTATGTACTTACCAACTCAGCCAAAGAACCAGAGAAGACACAGGTCTCTATCCATAGTCAAAAGCTCTTTAAACTGATAATTTAAACTTGTGGTTTTCATTACAGCTTGTTTGAGAAATGTTTCTATTTAAATAATCATGAAATGATAATAATATTTGAACGTCTATTATTATTCCTCTAAATAAATCGAATAGGTAAACAACAATAATATGACTAGTTAGATTCCAGGGCAGGAGGAGGAAGTGGTTCTGCTGTTTAATATCGAGGTCTTTTTATTTTGCTTAAGGGAGGTTTGGTGCGGCATTTGAACACTCTCAAATTTAGAAGACCTCTTTCTAGCCTTTTCTATTTGAAGAAATACCTAGGCATGTATTTATCCCCCAGTCTATACTAAAATTCAATTGAAATTTTGAAAATGTCTCTTTCACTTTTGTGGGCTTTCCCGAAATCAGAAAGTTATAGAGAATCTCAAAACGCTGCTTCAGCGGCTTAAAAGAAGCAAGAATCGAGAGCCTGGAAGTTTCATGAGTAAGCTATTCAAAACCGATTTAATATAAGCAACTCATATTTTACATCTGCCCTGTTTTCCCTCTCTTCTTCTTTCTCCCTCTCCCTAGGATCGTCACGATGGCACCAGCAATGGGACTGCCCGGTTACCCCAGTTGGGGACAGTCGGTCAGTCACCTTACACGAGTGCCCCTCCACTCTCCCACACGCCCAACGCAGACTTCCAGCCTCCTTACTTTCCCCCTCCCTACCAGCCCATCTACCCCCAGTCTCAAGATCCTTATTCCCACGTTAATGATCCTTATAGCCTGAACCCCCTTCACGCCCAACCTCAGCCACAGCACCCAGGCTGGCCAGGACAGAGACAAAGCCAGGAAGCTGGGCTGTTACACACACACCGGGGGTTACCCCATCAGTTATCGGGCTTGGACCCTCGGAGGGATTATCGGCGACATGAGGATCTACTGCATGGACCCCATGGGCTGAGCTCAGGACTAGGAGACATTCCGATCCATTCAATACCTCACGCTATAGAAGATGTACCGGTAAGAAAAAATAAAGATACCCCCCCTTTTTTTTCCTGTCTAAATTAAACAGTTAGTTTCAGTGCAAAGTAGGGCCGTACTAGGAGCTTGGGGAAAGGGAAAGATATGTCCTCCTTCCCTGACTCTCATTTTCTCCAAAGTAGAAAAGTTATCTAAGGCTAAATAGAATCGTTGAAGCCGCGACAAAATCTTGGTGTAGGTGTTTTCTCTTCTTTTCGGTCGAAACGAAGATCCAAAACAAAACAAATAAAAAAGTGGCTGAGGGTTCTCCACCTAGAACAATAGGTTCCTGCTGCTCCCCACAAACAAAGCATGCATTAACATTCCCACTAATATATAAATAAATCAAATTAAAGCCATCATTAACAATATCTTCCCTTCTCAATGACAATAAGCTGTTCGAATTGGAGGAGTGTATAATACCACCAAAAGGCCTTGCATTGGGATTTCTCACTGTCTTGGGAAAAAAACGTTAGACTACTAAGAGCTCATTTAAATGCCCTTAAAGCTAAACAAAAAAGTGGGTGAAAGTGGACTTCCAAGAAAAACTGTTCTTCCAGGTTACATACAGAGTGGTGAAATGCAAAGTTGTAAAATAAAGTACCAAATCTACAACATATCGTGGTCAAAACAAAATGTAGCAAATCAGACCAGAGGTATATTAAAATGCTGCCTTATCTTTTACTGGAAGTGCTAGTGACCTCATAAATCATTAGCTGGGTTATCAAAGTCTATCAAGACCTGCTATATTCTATATTAAATTAAATGTTTTGAGATTATTAAGTAATACATTATTTGAGTTCTAATTCAGTTATCAATACAGTTTTAAATGATTTCTAATTAAGAATGGTATTAGTACATTTGTTATTTATAATGCAAACTAAGGTACTGTTAATTTGAAAATACCTTCTGAATTTTAATTTAAACCACCATTGTTGCTCTAAATGGTTCCCTCCCAACTTCTAGGAAAATAAAATTAGAACATGCCAATAACTTCATTAAAACTGCAAGCAGCTCCTGAAAAAGTCATCCTTTTCAGAGGAGATGTATCTGGATGTGATTTTTACTAAAATGCTACCCCAAATTACTATATCAAATATTGTACCAATATGTCCACTGACAGTTTAATGATTATAACCCCATATTACAAGGCTGATGGTCAGATGAACTTACCTGTTTTCTTGGTCATTTTGAAATCCTGTGTAAGTTACATACTGGACAAAGCAGAAAATTTATTATAGTTCTTCTTAGGCCAAGCTAACCACTAAAATAATTGTATTTAGTAGCCTTGAATGGTAAACAGGTACTTTTTCAAAGGGGGGGAGGTTTCATATCAGATATAGATGTACCTATACACATATTGCATATACAGGTCTCAAAAGGTTTTGGGATACATTATCTACACACACACACACACACACACACACACACACACACACACACACACACACACACACACACACGGAAACAGGTTGATACTTAGCACAATTTCTTCCTGAAACAAAGTAGTCCTCAGAGGAAATTGTTTAATTAAATGAGTTTTAATTTTTTTAAATTGGGGGGTCATAACTACCATGCCCCAAAATATTTTCTTGAATCCTTTATCTAGACCTCTCCTTAGGAATATTCAAATTGTAAAACCATGGTCCATGCTTATTGGAAATCCTATGAATTATAATTGCTATACTTTTTGCAAACCCAGTGGTAGTTGGAACACATCTATAACATTAAAGAACTCTGGTGAAAATGGTGGGTAAGGAGAAATTAACAGTGATCAAATAAAAATAAAGAAACCTATCATCCCTCTCTACCCCTTTTAAAAAAAGTTTCTTTCAAAGGAATCTGGGTCAGGAAAGGGGTCTGTTTCAATTTTCCAGTTCTGCAACTACTTAATATTTTAAAAAATCAAGTAGATGGTTAAAATTAATCATAAATATCTCAGTGGGATTTTAAACTTAACAGTTCTCCCTGTATGGAATATGTCTAGAAATAACACAAATAAAAGTATTATGCCACACTACATTTACTTTATGGGTTTAGGGTGCATGCATAAAGGGATCATATTTCCCCATATAGTTAAAACACAAGAACTGCAGCAGTAGTCATTTCTGAACATTTCTCAATTTAATTATACTTAAATCCAGAAGCACTTTAGGCAAGTTACAAATGAGAGCATTGAGTATAATAAAACCTGTAATAAAGCAACTTAGTACCATCCACCCGGAATCATTGAGATCAGGCACAATTAAGAGGAGCATAAATCCAAGACAGAATGGAAAATGTTTGAATCAGTATTATTGTTGGACAAAGACTAGAGAAGGAAGTAATAGTTTTTTAAATGGTAATGCCTGTGTTTGGTAACGATTGCGAAATCTTCTATCTCAGCAGCACTGGTGCTAATTTGTAAACACAGCCAGACATTATATTGCCTGTCAGTTTCTGAATTAGAAAACATGATTTCATTCTACTTTCTAATCACGTTTTGACTCCAGCACACAAAAGTCCATTTGTAAAAAACCAACACCCAAACCTGAGCATGGACAACAGCTACATAAGGGTCTTTATTATATCCATATTTTTGTTATTCAGTTCAGGCAGAGGGGACTATTTTTTTTTTTTTGCAAAGGAAAGGTGTGAATATGTGTTAGCTATTTATCGCACTATCTAAAATGTTTCAAAATGATTTTCACTGCTCCCCACAGTTACTTCCTCGGCTACTTTCCATTGTTTTTCTAGCTTTAGAAGCCTGAAGCCGAGCAGTAGTTAGCCTGCATACTTGAATCTTGAAATGGGGGAAGAGGGACGTAGAGAGGGGGAAAGAAGAGGGGGAAGGGGGAAGGTGATGAGGCACCAAACTTAAGTGAGATTCATTTAAAGGTTAAATTGCACTTTGTCATAGATAATGTATCCAGCCTCTAGGTTTTATTCCCAAAGAAAGACATTGAGACGAGGGTTGTTTGCTAGGGACGGCAGGGTTTGGCCATCAGTCTGCACTGAAGCCTCTTGATTTGCAAAGCTGAAAATTCCAATAAGCCAACACGAGATGTTTATATATAAATGTCATTATACAGGAGGGGAAATTTCATTTCTACAACCTCCCCTCCCCCCACCATCCCTATACATTCGTTTCCTTTTGTTATGATTATACATTTAAATCCCTTCGTATCCTTTTGTTGCAGCATGTAGAAGACCCCGGTATTAACATCCCAGATCAAACTGTAATTAAGAAAGGTAAGCCATTTCCTTCTGCATTCCAAGCATGTCCTTACAGGCTGTGTACTATTTAAAAGAACTTGCAGAGCTTTATTCTCTTTCTCTCTCTCTCTCTCTCTCTCTCTCTCTCTCTCTCTCTCTCTCTCTCTCTCTCTCTCTCTCTCTCTCTCTCTCTCTCTCAAGGATTTCCTAAAGGCTTGGAGGTAGTAAATAGGCATGGACCAGCAATATTGAAAGGATCAGCTTTCTGTTAGTAGTTAGCAGGATTTGTTTTGTTTTCTGTTGGTTAGTGTTTTCAACTTTCTTTTTATGTGGCAAATTATTTGTTGATTGTGTAGTGGCATCTCACTTTTTCAGAGGTTTCATGATTAAATTAATTTCATTACATGAATGGAACTAAAAGCTTACAGAGATTAACAAACATGATGAAATGACAATTTTCATACTGAAATAAGAATAGGTAAAAATGTCATGTCTTTCCTCAGAAACAAAACAGCTTTCTTGTTTTTGTTTTTTTTATTTTTGTATCCTGTTGGCTAAGGATTTTTAAACCTTTTGTTATTCTGTAGGTTAGGTGCCAAGAAGTTTGGATTTTGGTTTAAATTTATACCTTCTTCCTAAGATTTAAGTATAGTTTTCAAACTCTGTGCTAGATAGAAAGGGGTATAGTGATTTCCTTGGATTTGTAATTTGTATTGTGTTCAGTTAGTAGAAATAAAGTTGATTGGATTGAGTGTATTTATGTTATTGCTCTAGGTAGCAACATTTCTGGGTTCTGCTGGCAATGTTATTTCAGAATTCTTTCAATCACCAGAGGATGATGCTATATAAAACTGTTCTCATTCCTAAACCTAATCAGTACACAGATAAGCTAGTTTAAAGTTTCATTTTTGTGTCTGTGAAGCCTTTGTCACGTCAAATTAGATGTGCAAGGGATAAATCTTAAGAGATGCTCTTTCCAAGTCGACATGATAATTGGCTCTTTTATTAGTAATCTCCAGAGTTCGTTTAACTCCCATTGTCTCTATTAGCCTCCCCAGAGCTATTAATGTCACAAGTGATCTATCCAAAACCTAAAGCCCCCCCCCACATTTAGATATCCGTACTAAAGAACACACAACAGAAAAAACAGTATTATACAGTATGACACTGCTTACATATGTATATAACATTTGATCTTCTTGTGGAATTTTTAATACAAAACATTGTATTTAAATGGTTCTGAGTATATTTGTGTAGAGAAATGAAACTGATCAATACACTTTCCAGTGGCTTTGAATTTACTCTCACCATTGCTTTCAAATTAAGGGTTTGTGTGTGTCAGAGGGATTTTTTAAGTCGAGGAACACAATTCTCTCCCCCACCCCCCCATCCCCAGTAAATCTGCTTAGTCGGCCAAGTTGTTAAAAATTTCCAAAAGAAAAGCACATTTTGAATGTATTCTAATGAAGGCTGATTCACTAATGTTTCTCTACAAGTCCTCAGATGTTCAGGGCCTTAAAACTTGCCCATTTTTAATGTTGAATATTTAAAAACTCTGAAACCTAGGAAAAGACTAATTTTATCAGTCAAGTATGTTGGGCATAGAACTAAATCCACCTTTTATAAGTGGTAGTGTTACTTTAACCCAAAAGTTCAGCTATAGTCCTTGTTTCTGCTCACTCAGTATCAGTTCTCCCAAATCCTCTTTGAACCTTCCCTCTTCACCTCTGAAAGATACTACAGGACTCCCTCCACACCACCAGCCCCAGGGTGCATCAAAACCAAACCAAGCATAACTACCGATCAGCTGATACATACTCTCCACACACACCTCTTTTTCCTCCAATCCTAAATTAGCGCTTCTGCTTAAATGTTTTTCCATGCAAAGCCCTCAACTTTCTCTCCCCACCCAAATGCAAACCCACCAAATGGAACTGATTGGAGGGAGACTGGACCAAGCTCAGTACAAGAGTTTATATACCACCTATCCCTGCTTGTATGAAGAACTTGTATGCCACCTAGCCTCGTCTGTATGAAATTTATATTGCCCCTAGCCCTGCTTATATGATTGCATATTTTTGGGAAGAGCCCCTGATGGGTCCATTGATAGCGACAGTTTCAAAACCTTTTTAAAAAAAAGAGAAGGGAAACAGTGAATGAACACGTGGGGGGCCCCACAAAACCCCTAAATACTAGAAGAGAAGCAATAATAATCATTACTTTAAAATCGGAGAGAAAATAGAGAAAGAGTAGAGAAGAGTGGATTAAGGAAGAGGAAAATGGGGATTAAAGAGGAGAGTGGAAAGGAGAAAGAGAAGAGAAATGAGGTGGAAAAAAGAGCGAGGAAAGAAAAGGGAACGGGAAAAGGAAGAAGGGGAGGAAGAGAAAGGAAAAAGGGAAAAGAAGTGGAAAAGAGGGAGAAAAGAAATGGGAAGAGGAAAGGAGGTGAGGAAGAAAATGAGACAAGAGAGGTGGAAAAAAGAGGGACGAGAGAAGGGTGAAAAGGGGAAGAGGAGATGAAAAAAGGGAGGAGAGAAAAGAAAGGGAAGGGAAACGGGAGAGATGGGAGGAAGAGAAAAGAGAGGGCAGAAAAGGGAAGGGTAGCATTTGAAAGGAGTCAGAAGGGGGAAGTGGAGGTGGGGCTCCAGGGCGAGGGAGGTTGCGGGCCCAGAGGGAGCTTGTGGGGACTGGGGGATGTGTTCACTAGCTTGGTTTGGGGGTCCTCGGTGGCCCCGGCGCCCACCCACAGCCTTCCCGCATGTCTCCGCAGGCCCCGTGTCCCTGTCCAAGTCCAACAGCAACGCCGTCTCCGCCATCCCCATTAACAAGGACAACCTCTTCGGTGGCGTCGTGAACCCCAACGAGGTCTTCTGTTCAGTTCCGGGTCGCCTCTCGCTCCTCAGCTCCACCTCGAAGTACAAGGTCACGGTGGCGGAAGTGCAACGGCGCCTCTCGCCTCCTGAGTGTCTCAACGCTTCGTTGTTGGGCGGAGTGCTTCGGAGGTGAGGCCCGGTGTGGCCCGTCCCGGCGCAGCTCGGCTCAGGCTACGAGAGCCACGCTGCGCCTGCGCCAGAGCTGAGGCGTTTAGCTCCCGCTCCCCCACCCCCACGTCCCTACCAACTCCTCCCCTTCTGTCTCCCCGCCCTGGGAAGAAAGAGGCGGGGAGAGGAGGACGGAATGAGGAGGAGGGGGCGGGGAGAGCAGACCGCGCCTGCGCTTCCGAGTTCCTTCGCGGTTGGCTCCTCTACGTCCCCCAGCTCCCCGCCTGCCCCCCACCCCTCATGCCAGCCCCGGCCTCGCGCCCGGGAGCTGGTGCTGACGCGGGCACGCTCTCCCACTAGGGGTGAGAGCTTTGGTCTTCCTCGGCCTTGGTTCCAGCCACTGGTGCAAATCCAGCCCTTAAAAATATCTTTCCTTTGGGTCACCGTTTTCCTTTGGCCCCACGCACACATGCCTTTCTAACTCCTCTTATGGTCCGACCCCTCTGGGGTCCACCCGCTTGGTCGCCCTTCTTCTTGTCACTCCTAGTTCTACCCGAGCTTTCACCCCGACTCTGAAGTGACTTCTTACAGACCGTTCTCTGGATTCTGTTCCAGCCGCCCACCCCAGCTCAACTTGAACCTTGAGAAAATTGCTCTCCTGCTGAAGAGCACGAGGGAGATGCTTTCATATTTTCACTACCTTTCTTTCCCCTTCCACTCTTTATAAGAAATAAGCCCAATGACTGTCCAAATCCATTTTAAAACCAGATATGCATGGGCCTACAAAGCTGTGCCTAAAGAGCTTTATCCCCCGCATAAAATATAGCCTGCGTTGTATTTTCAAACCTTTTAAAATAAGCAGCTATATAATTATTCCACTTCGTTTTTCTCTATACTCTATACCTCTATACTCACTTGGTTTTCTCAGTTTCATCTGCCGTTAGTAATATAACATCCTTTTCCTTTGGTTTTTTTCTTCTCCTACTCTTCTCTTTGCCCACCCCTAAATTGGGGACTGTTTACCTAGGGGAGCATAATCTAATCCACACAATTAAAGAGCACTTGGGTAGGGAATAAAATCTGAAATTAATTAATATGGTGATTCATTTAAACAATTTATCTCAACTCAGTTCTGTGCATAATAGTTTATTTAGACATCTATTTAGAATTGCCTTCTTTTCCTCCTGAATGTAGTGGAATTCTTTAAAGTTGATTTTCTTTTTTCTTTTCTTGACATTTGTAGCTAGGCTGGTGACATGCCATGTAAACAGCTGGTGAAATGAACTTCCCACTGGGGCTAGTGCTATGGCAAGAAAAAAGAGTGATGATAACTTTGGCCACTGTGTGAATAACCCTACAGTGGAACTTGCAAAGACAGTTTAAAGACTCCACTGGGATTTGGTTAGATCAAATGAGATAATGTATGTAAAGTGTTTCACAAACCTCAAAGCGCTATATAAATGTCAGCTATTATGTGTTACTGTTATTAGTAACATAGCAATAAGTCAAATGTTCAGAAATAATTCCAACCATAAAATTACTTAAAATGCTGGCAGTTGGTTGTGTGGTAGGCATTTGTTTTGCTACTTTCCTCCTATTCTTTATGGATTTGGAGAATGAACCTTTCAATTTATCATCAAATCTGTTCTTTTGATATAATTTCTCATATGATTCACTCCTTTAGGTGTCCCAGACACCCTTCTCATTAGGCAAGTTTCAAAATAATTTAGGGAGAAGTGATATTTAGCAATACAGTCACATCATCCTGAATTCTTTTTCTTGTGTCTCTTAAACAGGGCAAAGTCTAAAAATGGGGGAAGATCTTTAAGAGAAAAATTGGACAAAATAGGATTAAACCTTCCTGCAGGAAGACGTAAGGCAGCGAATGTCACCTTGCTCACATCACTAGTAGAAGGTAAGTACCTGTACTCCTGGATTAGGAGGAGGCTGCTTTATTTGGAAATATGTCATTTATAGGGGAAGATATTATTTTAATGATACTTTGCATTAGTTGTATAATTTCACTTTCTGAGCCAATTTGGTCGGTCCAAAATATTAGGAAGTCTATGCAACAATAAAATGTTTGGCTAATCCCCTTTACTCTGACCCTCTTCATCTTCACCACACAATTTCACCTCCTAATCCCCATCTGACTTTAAACAATTTGAAATTTCAAGAACTGCAGATTCTCGGAGTGAAAGTTTCTGTCTGCTTTAAAGAACTCAAAAGTAAATCATTTAAGTTATTCTGACATCTGTGTTTAAGAAATGCGTGACCATTGCTTCCTGACTTAATTTGGGTATCCTTGACCTGAGTCATGATTTAAGAGTGTCCTGAAAGCTCAGAGGTGCACTCCCTTTTGGGTTCTGGTTCTCGAAACGTACGCCCCTTTATCATTCCATTGTGCTCTCCTGGAGGGAAAAAAATTATTGAGCTATTTTAGATTTTTATTGGCTTAAATGTGAAAAGCCGAAAGAAAGAGAAGCATTGTTGGACTGGTTATCTTATTGCTGGTTCTTAAAAAAATTAAAACAAAAACTGGCTGACAACTTTATCATGAGTTAGGAGGCGAGTGCTCTAATAGTTGACTGTCTCTTTCTAGGTTATCAATTTTGCTTAAATTTGCTTATGATGGAATGAATTTATAGCTTGCTTTTATTTTCTTTGTGTCCTGTTGGAAATGTTTCAAGTTCAAAGTGGGGAAATTAAAAGCACTTAAAATGCCATGCAGATTAAAAATTAACATGTACAGTGAGTGAATCTTATTTGCATTTTTGTAAATTGGAGTGGTAGTAGTCAAACCTGGAAATCCTTGTATTTATTTGCTAAGAGATTATAATTCCAGTTGTAGGATGTATTTCAATGTATTTATTTGGGGGGTGGATAGCTTTTTAAAAAGTTTAATAGTACAGACTTAGGAAGGTGGCATTACTAAACCCACAGATTTTGTTAAAGGTGGAATACACAGTATTGTTAAGCTATTGTTCTATGCCATAGACCTATATACTGTAATGTTGAAGTTTAGCACACAGTGCCCACCACACTTACCAATAAGGAGCTGATCTGCAGATAGGTTGATAGTGATGCCTAATTTTAGCATGAAAGTAAATGTTGGGGGTTGAGTCTTGTGGCAGTGAGACAGTTTCTAGAATACTGTTATTGTTTATGATCTGCTCCATTTTATGGAAACAAGCTCCGCTGAGCGGGGCTTTGAAGCTCTAATTGGCGCATGCGTTCTTCCGGAGCTGGAGCTAATGGCAGGAAGCCCTGCAGTAAAAACCAACTGGTTCAGGAAATTAAAACCAAAGATTTGAAAATCAACAAAACAGACGGACTCAGTAGAGTGACCCTAAAATTCTCATGGTTAATCGTTTGGGGGTGAACAGATAATTAAATACTATCAAGTTAAATTTTAAGCACTTAATTCTTTTCAGAAAAGCTCCAAGAGTAATTACAAATATTATTCATTAATGTGTTTATGGATGTGAGTTTGTTATAAAAGAAACATTTTAACATTGTCTAGGAAACCATGATTATTGGAAAGGGGGAAGGGAAGTCAGGGAAATTTATAATATTTATGTATCTTGGCCTTTGGTGGGCAATGGGCATTTACTTTGGTCCTAGGGAAGGAAAATAAAATACTTAAAACAACAATTTTTCCCCCAAGTTTTGGGTTTGCCTGGCTGTTATTTTTTTTTTAAGGGGAAATGGGAAAAAGGAGAATTCAGTTATTCCCGTAGTTGTATATCTGTGTATTGATCCTATATTTCTCTACCTCCTCCCACTTCTGTCTTTCCTACCTTCTGCCAGGAGAAGCAGTACACCTAGCCAGGGATTTTGGGTACGTGTGTGAAACTGAATTCCCTGCCAAAGCAGTAGCTGAATTTCTCAACCGACAACATTCCGATCCCAATGAGCAAGTGACAAGAAAAAACATGCTTCTAGCTACAAAGTAAGACATTTCCCTCTGTAGTGTTGGTATGACTACATTTTGAGAGAAAAACCTTTTTTTTCCTTCCCTAATTTGTCCTCCATTTCTTTTCTTGTTAGGTAGCTAAACTATTTTGTAGGTTGTCAAAAGTACCGTCTGTTATAAAGAAAAAAGTAAAGTTCAGTTTGTATCCTTTTCCTCTCTTTCCTCCCTTCAGCCCTTTAGCAGTTTTCCTGAATGTGTGATTTGATAGTAGATGACTTTATATTTCAGTGGCTATTTGTTTTAAAAGATCAGGACCAAATCCTTAAAGGGGAAATAAGTTTGCCTTTGGACTGATATGTATCAGTTTCTGTCTTTCAAGGAGGCATTTTCCAAGGACATGGAGCTCATACTACTGGCCCATGAAATATACAAACCAGATGCTGGCCCATTTCAGACCTGCTCCTTTTCCTAGCCCCGGCCTTCAACCTTCTCTCTAGGCTTGCCTGATTCCTTCCTGCCTGTTGCCCTCTTTCCTCTAACATTTTCTCCACCCTTTTCCCATGATCTCAGATGTTTTAGGCTACAGGGGATTTATGGAAGAGGTTTCAAAATGGCCCAAATTACACCTACAACCCAATTCAGTCAGGATTTGTTTCTGCCAGGGCTAAATAGGCTTCTCCAGGTGGTATGTTAAAAAGAAAGTGGTTGATATGATGTTTTTCTGGAAATTAAAAGGCTTATTTAATTGACCTTAATTACCAATGGATATGTCACCAAAGGGCAGAGAGCCAGAGGGTAGAAGCTGGAGGAGGTTTGCAAAGGAGGCTGCAGTTGATGGTTTATGGAGATAGAATCAGTTTGTGGTGGGGAAAATATTTGAAATAGCCTAAGTCTGTAGATAGCCAGTCCTTTCTATTTATTCTTTGCTTATCCTGAGCCATCTTCTCCCAGTGTTAGCTCCCTCTACCCCCTTGCTTTCCCTACCCCCATCTCCCCATCTGCACATTGAGAAACCTTTGAGGCAGAATGGGCAAGGTCCCTGGTTTAGTTTTCCTGTCAATTAGGCAGGGAGGGTTTCTTCACTGCAAATAGTACCAATCTGACTTTTCTGCTTTGAATGGCTCAGTTTGAAACTTTAGTCTTTTTCCTCTCCTTTCACCTTTCAGCACATGCACACACATGTACGCTTGTGTACACGCCCTCAACCTCACCCACTCTGCCTTTGAAAATTTCTCAGCTTTCTTTTTGTAGTTTTTAGGGGGAAAGCAGCATAAGGATGAAATGGACATTGTATCTGTCCTAGATAGATCACTCTCATTTGTCCCTTTCGCATCCTGTTCTTTTGGTCAGAAAAAAAACCAAAACCAAACCTAAAGTGTAATCTTTCTTTCAAAGTTCAACTCATTATAGGGGACTATAGAAAGAGTAAAAGGTTTATCCCAGATCCAAGTGGTGGGCAAAGTGTCTATTGGGGGAACTGTACACAGTGGGGATGTATCGTATTGTTTTTTTACTCTGAAGACTAATAGGTGGATCATATTGAAGGTGTTTTTCTGTTGCTGAGCATTGCTCCTCTCCTTTGGCCTCCTTCTATGAGCATATATGTACATATGTGCCTGTGAGTGTCTGAGATGTATGTTTGAGGCATGAATGTCTGAGGGGGAAAATATTTAATGCTGGTTTTTGTGAGAAGAAGGTGAAGAGTGGGGTGAATAACTAGATGGAGTGGGATATATTTGCCTGTATAGGGCCCTTGAGAAATGTATGGAAGTACTGCTTGAGTCTTTAAATGGCCAATAGAAAAAGTAAAATATAAAAAACTACGTTATCTACATGTATTCGTGTTTGGCCTTGTGGCAAGGAAACCCAGTTCTGTGTTCCAGGTGGTTATATAATCTAGCAGGGAGAAGTGCCCCCCTCTTGCTGCTGCTGACAGCAATGGTTCATTTCTCTTTCTTTCCCTCTCTCTTTCTCTCTCTCTCCCCCCTCTCTCTGCTCCACTTGTGCTTCAGACAGATCTGTAAAGAGTTCACTGACCTGCTGGCTCAGGACCGATCTCCCCTGGGGAACTCAAGGCCCAATCCTATCTTAGAGCCAGGCATTCAGAGCTGCCTGACCCACTTCAACCTCATCTCTCATGGCTTCGGCAGCCCGGCAGTGTGTGCAGCAGTCACTGCCCTGCAGAACTATCTCACCGAGGCACTCAAGGCCATGGACAAAATGTACCTCAGCAACAATCCCAACAGCCACACAGACAACAGCGCCAAAAGTGGTGACAAAGAGGAGAAACACCGAAAGTGAGGATTTCCTTCCTTCCTTCTCCTCAGCTCCACCCTGCTTCATCTTTTCACCTCTTCCCATCTCCTTTCTCTTCTGCACCCATCTTCTCCTTCATCACTCACCACCACCACCACCACCACCACCTGGCAGGCTACAGCTCTGGAATCAGCGATCAACTGCTGCCCATTCTGTTCTCTGAGTCTGCAGGAATGCTCTCTTCTCCTGTCTACCAACCCTGACTCATAATCCCTCTCTGCTTCCTCCCCCTTCATCATCAACACTCCCTCGCCCCGTTTGGAGCCTAAGAGAACAGAACAGGTGGTGGAGCCAGCAAAGAAAAGTTCTGTCTGAGTTTGTGAACTTTTTTTTTAAGTAAACCAACAGAAAAATAAATAAAAAGAAAGAACTTTTTTCTAAAAAAAAACAGTTAAAAAATTAAAAAAAAATTCTATGAGCTTCATGGGACTGAATCACCACCTCCCCTTACATTACTTCAGTTAAGATTGTAGCCATATTAAAAAAAAGGCAAAAAGGATAATGACATTTTTATCAGTATTGTGAATAAACTTGAACACAAAATCCATGCAGTTCCATGTCATGTCTTCAGTTATAGAACTTCTTCCTCTACAAGGTAAAGCAACCAACTTGAACGTTTTATGACAACACAATTTGCAGTTACTCTATAAGGGAATCAGTGTTCATGTCTGTATATATTTATTTATGTGTAATTTAATGGGAATTGTAAATATGGTGAGTCTGTTTTAAGCCTTTTTTTTATTTATCTGGTGATTTCGTTTACCTTTTGTTTAGTCGGGTTTAAATCTTCCCTCTTAGTTTTTCATGTGGCTCATGGTACTTATTTAGAAATCCAAGGTTTGGGGGATTATTTTTTTCTCTGGGATTCATGATTTTTGACCTGTTGTAGCATGTTAAGGTGACAATGAAGCAGCTGAACAATTTTTTTAAAAAAGAGAAATAAAATGGATTTTAAAAATATAATTAGTATTACATTTACATTCATTGAACTCTAAGAAAAAGTGATATTGGATCCTAGAATGATTTTTAAACATAAGCAGTCTTACAAACCTTATGTCATGAAGATGGGGTTGGGGGTATGGGATTTAGGAAAAAAGTTTTATTTTTCTCCACTGTCTTCCCTTAAAAGCATCATCAGAGCAATGAATGGATATTGTCTTTAGTCCAAGGTTAGGGATTCCTCTCACCCCCTCTCTTTTTTGTTCAAAGAACTTCAAACATTTGGGACCACCTGGTATCCTGTATTTCCACTGGCCATATTGGAAGCAGTTCTAGTTGTATTGTATTGAGTTGTGCTGGCAGTAGTTTCCATGCCTGTCAATGTATCATAGTCCTTTGTTGCCCAGATAAATAAATATTTGATACGCTTTATGTCGATTTTTTTTATTCAGTGGCTGTCTTTACCCAGGCGTATTTTTGTTCTTGGCAGTATTTTTTATTCAGTATGGTTACAGTAATTGAGTTTAACTCTCCCTTGACAATTGCTCCTTGCAATAAGCAGCTGAACCCATTGTTTCCCTCAAGTATAATAAAAACTTACTTTCAACTTGGAGTTCAGAGCAGGGTATCATTTAGATATTCCACTGAGTCTGTATTCAGACAAATGACACAATAAAACACAATGTATTCTTTTGGATAAAAAATTGTCTCTACTGCTAAAGGAATGACATACCATCTTTTCCTTAAAACAGAATTTTATTTTAAAAAAGAAAATAAAGTTTTATTTATGTTGATTCTCTAGGTTTTGATTTGTGTTTTAAAACAAAAATATGAACCTTTCATAGGGAAATAATTATCTGGTTCATTAGTGCCAGAATTATATGCTTCTGTTGATAAGATGTTCAAATGATCTAAAATGAATCTTGGAAAAGAAAAAGAATTGTGATACAAATGTATGAGTAGCAGTGGAATGGAAGAAATTTAATTCAGATTCATTTTCACATTTATAGATGAACTGATATTATATGTTTAGATAGCTTTCACAGGAATACAGGAAACTGATAGATATTGGTATCTTTTCTATAACTACTCCTTTACATTCCCCATCCTACCTGAAGGAACCTAATTTAAAACAAAAAACAAATGTGCTGAAATGAAAATGAAAACAAAACCCAAGCACATATATCTGCATATTGCTTAAGACAGTCTATTGAAAACTAGGGGTATTTTGTTTGGGCCCTATATGTCAGTATTTGTTTGTAAATAAGGCTTGCTAATTCAGAGTTCATGCTAGTTAATTTTAAAAGAAAAAGCCTCTTTGCTTTGTGAGGTGGATGTTTGTGTGTTTTCCAAGCAGAAAATGGAAGAGGTTAACTGTAAGGTATATAGGAAAACTACAGGGAGAATTAACATTTGTTCAAATATTTTGATGTTTGGTAGGGCTGGTGATGCAAAGTATTAGATAAAGTCCAATATGTTTCATTTTGCTTTGGTAATCTACTTAGGGAAGGCAGTGTAAAATCAATCTCCTCAAGCAGAAGAGAGTTGGTGGAGTCTAAATTCTATTTTCAAAAGCAAGCTAGTTCATAACAATGGTGGATTTTTCCTAATACAAATTGAAAGTGGATCCTCTGAATGCAAAGCTGCAATTGTTTTTAAAACGGTTATTTATTATTTCCTAGAGAGACTGGTTAACTGTAAAGTAGATGTAACAAAATAATGAGGTGAATGAACCCTAACTGTACATATTCTTGACATAAATGAAATGCACAGTGCTGTAGCAGGTGAAATGAAGCATTGTCTATCAGGGCTGTTTTTCTTGGCTGCATCTCAGATTGTGTGGGGGATCCTAACCTCAGGCACAATAGCATTCATAAACAGCAATACATTGCTGCTCTTTCTACAACAACACATAAATACTCATTTTTAAATGGAAACAATCTTATTAAATACCATTCATTCATATCTGGATTTACAGATGCTTGTTACTTTTGAAATCCTGTACCCAATATAATCCTTGCATCCTGAGCAAGAGAAAAAGGAAGTGTTGTGTTAGTACATTACAAGGTCATAATAAACAATGCTTTCAAAATGTATAGAATTAATTCATTTTATTCTACAGTTGTGCATTTTAAGGATCATGGTTCTTTGCATAGTTTTTTTTCCAAGTAAAACCCAAAAGGAAACTCCATAGCATTTTGTAGGGGAGATGGCTGGGTGAGGGAGGTCATTATTGAAGGAAAAAAAGGATTTTATAGGTCTAATGGAAACTATTTGAATATGGAATTCTCTGCTGTGACCAACCTACACCTACTAAAACCTGTGATAACTGCTTTTTCAGGTTCCAGATTTATCTTTAAATGCATCAGTCATCACCATTGTTATTCTACGTTAGGTTTTTATTTAGTAAGAACATTTGCTCTTTTAGATTAGCTCAAATTAGGAAAAATGGTTGACTGTTAAAGTGCAGACCCTTCTTGCTGGTGGGGGAAGAGTGTGCTAATTTCAACACCTGATTTAAATCAAACCACAATGCTCTTTCAAGGTTTATTGTCATCCCCCCTCCAAAAAAACTTTTCAAATCACAATCTAACCCCTCTCCCCAAAATCGAATATTAATATAATTTGAGATTTAACTGGTGAAACAGCCATCAGGACAGCAATGCCCCGCAGCTGAAATAATATTTAAAATAGAAAGGATCTGACATTTGAGAAGTCAGTGGCTTGAAATACCCAGTTGTACTTAGCTAATTCAGTCCTTAACCTCTGGTTTCAAATAAATCAATTACAGTCGATTCCATTTCAGTTCAGAAGTGCATGGGGTTTTAGTTAATTGAATACATTTTATTCACTTGCTAGGAATATTCATTTATCAAAATTCTAAATTTATTATACATTTCTTTATAATTCAAGATGTATTAGGCTCTATAATCACATCAAATTCTTCCTGGTTTACACAAATCCTGCTTAAAATTTGAATTTCATAATGATGTATAAAAAAATTTTCCCCTATTCCCCCACTTCAACCAAAACTAAATTCATCACAGTAGTATGTCAGATTTCATGCCCAGAAAGTATAACAAAGATAAGATACTCTCCTTCTCCTGCAAAGAAAAAATTACATGTAGTCCATCCTCATTGTGTCAAGTTTAAATAGGTTAAGAACAAAGCTGGAATAACCAAGTTTAAAAAAGTGTAGACCTGAAATAAAAATTGTGCATGGTTTCCATTATGGCCTAACTTTCCTCCATCTGACAGGTATGATAGCATTTTGTGTTCTTAAAGTAACAGGACCCTTTTCTTAGGTGGTAGTGGTGGTGGGTTTTTCTTTCTTTCCTTTTTCTTTTTTTTTAAAGGGCAAATGTTTGAATACATATCTAATCGTTAACTGAAACCATTGTAGTTGAACATGCCAAAATGAAGTTGTGCTTTAAACAGATATTGATGTATGCAGTGTTTTATATTTATTGTTTGCAGCATCCCGCTGGCAGCAGCTTACTGTTTGGAAAGGAAAGGGGTTAATTAGCGTCATTATCAATCACTAATGCTTGCCTAACGTGTCCAAAGAATAATCAAGTTAGAGGACGGCATGAAGCCAACATCTGCTTCATCCCAGTTAAAGATCTCATCCTATGCCACTCTGTTATTGGGGTGGGGGAACAGAATGGGGTGGGGTCCTATTCACATTTTGTGCAAAGTGAAGAAAATACAAATAGGGTCATATTTAAGAAGGAGGGAGTGTGTAATATAAATAATAAATGTTTTTATTTTCTGAGTTACAGGTATAGACATGGAATAGGCACTGAGTAAGGATTACTGAAATTTGTTCTTTATGTACTTGGGTATCAAAATCAGATGTTAGAAGTAAACACACAGTCCTTTATTTTTTGGTTCTGTAGGTTAGTTAAATTAATTCTGAAATTGGGGTGGGAGAGAGATGATATTGCTCCCAACATCTATTACCATAGGAAAAGCCAATTCAATCCAACCCTAAACATCACCCAACAGCCCTCACCAAACAAAAACGGAGAGAATAGATGTGGTTGTAATATCTTATTTCAGTCCTCTCTGAATGACTTTCATTAGACTTTTTTGTTTGTTTTTCATCTTTGCTTTTGTATTACCTGAACCTAGCATGGTGCCATTCCCATAGTAGGTAATAAATACTTCTTGGGTTTAATTGAATTAGGCTTTGGAATATTTTCTTTTTCTCATTAAGTAAATCATGTTAAGAAGTCATACTTTCCTATGACTTCAATTACTGGCTATTGTCAGCATTAAACCTGGGGGCCCTTGTTTGATAGTTGTGCTCTCTTCATTTGTTTCTGTTAGTCCCATTACTGATAATTTTGTCATCATGATGGCTAAAAACGTGGCAGTGACTGTGGGAAAGTTTGACATTATTGATAGAAGTAGTTTATTTTTTTAAAATAGAAAAATTAACTGACAGCTGGAACTGAAGTCCATATTTAGGTTCAGGTTTTCTAGCCATTTTTTAAAAACTTGGTATGAAATAGATCTCTCTCTGACATGTTCACAAATAGAAGTAGTACTTTCTGATTTATTGTTGTCTTTTCTTCTTTTTCTTCTTCCTCCTCTTCCTCCTCCTTCTTTCAGGATCCTACTCAAAATCTCATTTACTTCATAAATTTGTCACCAGGGATAGTGAAAATTCAGTCAACTTGCTTAAGTAAATTGCACTTAGTACCCAAGTATTTTTAACTTGTAGTTATTACTGAGAGCTTGTTGGGTTGTGGGGTGGGGTGAGGATACACAATAGTTGAAAAGGAAAGCAAAACAACCATTTATTTTGGAAAAGTGGGTAGCACATTTGCATATGACCTTCCTTAGTTTAAAAAAAAAGTCTGTTGCACAGCATCATTTTTTGAAAGAATGAGGTAAGAGAGAATGATTAGATTAAATTTGTAGGCTACCAAAAAAAAGTCAAATTCACAGAGTACCTTTTCTCTCAACCCCCTTTTAAATGGAAATAAAGAAGTCTTAGAAGGTATGGGGTGGGGGTATGTATTAGTTCCAGGGTAAAGAGGAATGCAAGAGTGGAATTCCTAACCTAAAAGAAGTATGACCTTTCCTCAGAGGACACACAGGACAGATTTTTACTTAAGAATACTACAAAACCTGACATTCTTTAGGTAACTTCATCATAATTAACTTCACCTTGCTCCTCACGTCAGATTTCAAAGCAGGTGCAGGGCCAAAAAAGTTAGCATGATCTTTCAGGGTGAGTGGTTTCTCTCAAGGAATCAGCATCACAACAGGCTATTTCTAGCAACAATCCTAACCACAAGCCTTCCTGGTTACTGTATTAGTTCTCTGTGTTAGTCGTTAGTATGTTGCAGTTCTTACCCTTGCTAATCATGCTCTACGAAGCTGTCGTGGTCATTACAATTGTTAAGTTTTATAAGGAAACC